GGAAGGGGAAGGGGGTAGGGGAGGGGGGGCGTTGGCTGTGGGTTTTAAGCCCTCCACTCGTGTCGTGTGGGGTGGGGTGTGTGTGTGTGTGGCTGTGGGCTCTGTTTGTGGTTGTGATATGATGCCCTGTGTTTTTGGCCGTGTGTGTGGTGTGTGTGGGATGGATGGATGGACATCTCCAAACGAACTTATTGCTCCTTCAGAACCGACATGTGGCTCGAAAGGGCAGCAAGAGTGTGTGTGTGTGCATCGGTGTCTACATTTTATATTGTGATGTAAGCTGATTCGGTTCGTTTGAGAGGACGCAATGCATCATGATGTGTCTGTGTGTGTTGGTGGTCGTGCCTGAGAGACATGTATTGAAGGGGATTCTTGAAGAAAACGTGCAGTTCTTAAACAACCGACAGATTCTGCCATTCCATCTCCTTTCACCCAGAATGCCATCGTTTCTCCGCCTTTTTCCCTTGTTGCATATCCAAATTCCCAAACCGATCCAAAGGCGTTCCTCCGTTGCGGCATGAGCCCTAAGAAAGCCGCCTCCACTGCCATCGTACTGTCAGGAAGCTTGAGGGGTAACCATTCGCCGGGAGGAAGCGACAGAGGGGCATGGGGCGTGGCACATCTTGTGACCGTACGAATCCATTGCGATGTACACATGCGTGTGCAGCGTACAGAAATGCACACGTGTGTGTCTTTCACAGACGGACGTTCGTCCAGCGTACTTACACGCACACTCAGCTCAAGCTCCTATGTGCTGGCAGCCCTCTTCACTGTACACGGCAGGCAGGCAGGCATGCTGGCCGGCTGACCCCCTGGCTCGCTGGCTGGCTCGCTGTCCATGAGATGATCCACACCATGCCGAAGAGCCTGACTGACATTCACACTTGCCTGCCTGCAGGAGACGCAGCCAGCCCAGCCAGAAAGGTAAGTAAAGCAAATAGGCGCACGCACACCCTTGCCTCCTCTCTCTGCTCTCTCATTCCGCATCGCATCGCATCGCCTCTTTCCAACGCCCTGTACACCCACTCACTCATTCACGGAGACACACACACTCACTCACAAGCCGCCCCGAGAAGACACGAGAAGACCCGTCATGTATTCGATTGACCGATCACACTCAGGAATGCATTCAATGAGTACAAACGAAGAAACAGCAGACGGACGCACGAGGGACACGCACATACGCACACACGCGCAAGGCATATGCCTGGACAGGTATGTCAAAACAAGCAGAGGGGAGGGGCCTTCCCCGCTTTCGCCCGCTGGACTGGATGATGAGAATGAATGGACATCAACACGGACATCGACATGCACACAACACAAGTGGCCCCTCGAGACCGTCACGTCACACGGATATCGACTCACATTTGCAAAGGTACACACACAAACAACACGTATGTCTGCACATACTCACTTATACAAAACGACACGACACGACACGACACGACACCACACATCCATGCATCCATCCATTTATCCATCCATCCAGCCATGTACCCATCACACCCACACCCACACCCACACGCACACGCACACGCACATCGCCGTCGTCTGGGTTGAGTTGTAGGCAAAAATCACGTCACGCACGTCATCTCCGTCACGCAGGTAGGCAGGCGGGCATGTCAGGTAGGTATGCAGTGTGCGGGAAAGACTTTTCCTTCTCTTCCAATCAGTCAGTAGCCACTCCATCCCTCCATCCATCCATCCAGGCAGGCAGGCAGGCATCACTCGTACGAATGGATCCCTCCCTTCGTCACGTCAAGGAAACAAAGCAGTTGGCTTGCGCTCATTGCTCCGTCTGTCTGCCCGGCCATGTCATGTGGTGTGCACTGTGTTGGTTCCATTTCTCTTCTTCTGGTTGGTTGGTTGGCCGGTGTGCGCGTGGGTGTGCTGTGCAGCCTTGCTGCAGTATTGGTTGGCGAACGGTTGACTGACTCGGGTGATTACCCGACCGACCCGTTCACTCACTGCAGGGCCATCACAACACAGCCACCCACACACCTTCCCACAACCACACACACACACAACCACACACACAATCACAACCACAACCACTCCCCCACGACATCCATTCATCCATCCATCCATCCGTTGCCAGAAAACGACTTGCATTCTTGCCTGGCGTGGTTTGTTTCCCTCTCTCTCTCTCCCCTTCTCGGTGCTGGCTCGTATACAGTGTGTGTGTGTGTGTGTGTGTAAGGCAGCTGGAGAACTAGGACTGTCTTTCATGTGTAATGTGTAGACGTACATGTGTGTGATGTGATGTGGGCACTAAATCTGTGTGTGGTGTGGTGTGGGGGTGGAGGATGGGATGGGGAGGGGTGCATTGCAATCAATATACACGACACGTGTGGGTGGGTGGGTGGGT